ATCCAATATTGTGTAGATACTACTTTTTAATATTCTAGAATGGCTCCAGTCAGATCTGGGAGATCTGTCTGCATTTAGCCCCACTTGTTTCCCTAGTGCTTTATTTGATATTTTTTTTCCCTCTCTTTTGCCCCTTGAATATTTCTGCATTTTTTTTTTTGGAAGCTTTTAGCATCTTCTAATGTAAAGACTGAATGCAAAGTGTTTATTCAACTCCTCTGCCTTTTCCTGGTTCCCCATTATTACTTCCCTAGCCTCATTCTCTAAGGGGCCTATGTCCACTTTGGCCGCCTCTTTTACTTGTTCAAAAAAAGCTCTTGCTGTTTATCTTGATATTACTTGCAAAGTTACACAGTTTACTTTTCTTTGATTTATCTCTTCATTTTCAAAACTTTTTTCAATGCTCTGACCACCAAACTGCCACATGGTATGTGTTTTTTTCAATTTGATGTTATCCTTAACTTCCGTGTTTAATCACAGTTTGCTTATCCCCTTGCTAGAATTTTGTGTTGGTCACTAAGGATCATCACCCATTGTGCATTGCCTCCCTTGTTGCTTCCTCCAAGTGTTGCTCAACATGGAGGAGCACTAATTGATCAGCTGAGGGAGCACGGTACATGGGAATCAGCAGGAGATTTCTTTGCCTATCTTTAACCTCATGGTACGAGTCTTCAATGTTGAAGATTCCAAGAACAATTCTGTCTCGCTATGCTGCCACCTCTGGGTGTGTCCTGCCATTGGGAAAGGACAAAGAAGGTTAATGAAAATGAATATAGGTCCCTTACAGTTGGAAACAGAGGCAAGTTGTAATGAGGAACAATGGGATGGCAGACCAGTTATATACATACATATTCTGCTCTCTTTATCTGAGGAAGGATTTTCTGGCTTTGGTGGTTATGTAATGAAGATTTACCACACTGATCCCTGGAAGGGTAGGACTGATATTTGAAGAGAGACTGAATCAGTTAGGATTATATCCCTGGAGTTTGGAAGGATGATGGGGTGTCTCATTAAAACTTTGCAACTTTCAATAGGACTGGACAGGGGGTGGTGGTGGTCCCAATCTAAGGATATGGGGAATGGGGTAGGCCATTTCGGATTGAAATGATGAGATATTTCACGAAGAGAGTGGTGAACCTGTGGAATTCTCTGCCACGGTGGTGAAAGCAAAAAGCTGTTTTTAAGAGTCTGATATTATTTGGGGCTAAAGGAATCAAAGGTATTGAGTTGATAATCAACCATAATTGTGTAGAATGGAGGAATGGGCTCAAAGCGCCGAATGGTCACCACCTCCTATTGTCCATGTTTCTGTGACATACCCCAAGCAGTATGGTGGTTGATATCTGGAACATAGTACTGTACTATATTATGGCTCTGAGTATAACTCAGGCTGTTGTTTAATAAGTTTTGAGTGATAGTTCTCCCAGTTTTGGTACTAGCTCCTACTTAGTAGGGAGGACTTTACAGGATTGACGAGTCTAAATTCATGTTTGTCAAGTGGTTTTTTTTTTTTTTAAAATATACATTGAAGGGTTATGTTCTTTATTTGACCTTGACTGAAAAAAAGAACTTTTACTGCAGCTGTACCAACCTTTTAATTTCCTCCACCAATCATCCTTGTGGCCTGTTCTTGATGCAATTGACAAATAGATTTGCTAATTAGTGGTGTGCTTCCTCATCCTCTTTCCTCTGATCATTGATCATTGTACTAGTGCCTTGTTTACCACCAAGTAGAGCATCCTGTAAAAGGATGCTGCTTTTATTATTGATTTTCATGGCAATTTGTAAACAAAGTATCCATCCTGGAGGTCAATTTTTTTATGCTGATTTTAGATGGAACTCGTGATTTTTTTTGTGCTGCGATTTAAACAATTTAGAAATGCCCAGGGCGGGTGAGTTGAGAGAACTCTGGCAGACACAGTTAAAAGTAACAGTGTCCTCACTGTGCTTGCTTGAATCCGTGCTAAATTCCCTCTGGTCTGCTGCAGTGTGGTAAAGTTAAAAGCATTAGTATTTTTATGTAGATGGGTTGACTATCAATTAAGGGATTGAATTCCTGTAATCAAATATCTAGTGACTGTATACCTTACTTTGGCTGACCAGTGATCCGTACACTTTTTTGCCTTCTGTAATGACATGGAGACAGCTGAAACAAATTGGCATTTCTACCACTGTATTCACAACACGGTAAAATTTAAGCCAAAGACACCAATAATTACTCCAATGGCTCCTAACCAGACATTTGAGGAACCAAACCCAGACTTTTTGAATAGTTAATTCCAGACACCTGTTTGTTTCTTTTCTGATGAAGGGTCTAGGCCCGAAACGTCAGCCTCTCTGCTCCTATGATGCTGCTTGGCCTGCTGTGTTCATCCAGCCCTGCACCTTGTTGTCTCGGATTCTCCAGCATCTGCAGTTCCTACTATACCTGTTTGTTTCTATTCATTTGTGGGATGTGGGCGTTGCTGGCTGGCCAGCGTTTCTTGCCCGTCCCCAGTTGCCCTTGAGAAGATGGTGCCGAGCTGCCGCCTTTAACCGCTGCAGTCCTCCTGCTGTGGGTTGACCCACAATGCTTATTAGGGAGGGAACAGTGAAGAAAGAACAGGTGGTGTTCCCATGTATCTGTTGCCCTTGTCCTTCGAGACAGTAGTGGTTGTGGGTTTGGAAGGTGGTGTTCAAGGATCTTTCTGCCGTGCATCTTGTAAATAGTACACTCTGCTACTGAGCATTGGTGGTAAAGGAAGTAAATGCTTGTGGATGTAGTGCCAGTCAAGCAGGCTGCTTTGTCCTGGATGGTGTCAAGCTTCTTGAGTGTTGTTGGAGCTGCATGCATCCAGGCAAGTGGGGAGTATTCCATCATACTGTTGACTTGTGCCTTGTAGATGGTGGATGGGCTTTGAGAAGTCAGGAGGTGAGTTACTTGCCACAATATTCCTATCTATCGCTATCTTAAGTATACTCAAACACTTTACCGCAGCAAGCTGTGGAGGCAGAGTTCTACATATTCACCATTCTCTGGCTGAAGAAATTCCTCCTCTTAGTTCTAAAGGGTTGTCCCTTCTCCATGCCCTTGGTTCCTAATCTATCTAATGGAAACATCTTTTCCATGCCCACTCTATCTGGGCCTCTCAGAATTCCATAAGTTTCAATCAGATCCTCCATTCATCCTTCCAAATTCCATCAAATACAGACCCAGAGTTCTCAACCAGTCCTTTTATATGACAAGCCCTTCATCCCCAGGATCATTCTTGTAAGCCTCCTCTGGATCCCCTCCAAGACCAGCACATCCATCCTTAGACAGGGCCCAAGACTGCTCGCAATATCCCAAATGCGGTCTGACATGAGCCTTGGACAGCTTCAGCAGCATGTCTCTGTTCATGTATTCTAGCCCTTTTGAAATGAATGCTAACATTGAAGTTGCCCTCCTGACTGCCAACTGAAGCTGTGTGTTAACCTTAAGAAAATCTTGAACTAGGACTCCCAAGTCCCTTTTGTGCTTCAGATTTCTGAAGCCTTTCCCCATTTAGAAAAAAGTCTCTATCAAAAAATATAACTCCACACTTTCCCATGCTGAATTTCATCTGCCACTTCTTTCCTGGCCTGTCCATGTTCTTCTGCAGCCTCCCTGCGTCCTCAGTGCTTCCTGTCCCTCTGTATCTTTGTGGCATTTGTAAACTTCCCAACAATGCCCTCCTTTTCTCCATCCAGATTGTTAATGTATAACATGAATAACATGTAGGGTATGCAGGGTAGATTGATCTTAGTAGGATAATAGGTCGGCACAACATCGAGGGCCGAAGGGCCTGTGTTGTACTGTTGTGTTCTGTTCCCACACCACTTGTTTAGCCATGTGTTTACTCCTAACTTTCTTGTGTCTCTGCCAATTTAATAATGGCTCAGATAATAATCCAGATATTACCACCTTTTTTGAGGTCCTTTTTTTTTTTAAACGCAATCCTCTTCCTGGAGTTGTCTGTTGGAACCCTTTTTTGATCAAGACTCGGCCCGCAATTAACCTCTAGGTCTGGTCTCTCAAACAAACAATAGGTTGTTTGGTCTGTTTGTTTATTTTCCTCTTACTACTAGCTGTTTCCTGAAGCTCTCCAATCATTTCCAGCTCATTATTCCAAACCAAACCAAACCAAAATTGTTAAAAGAATAAAAATAATAAAAATTCATGGAATCTTAACATTTCCCACTTCTGAATGAAGTTTTTTTAGAAAAAGAGGCTGTAGGCTTTGGATGTGCCTGCATTTATTGCTCATCCCTAACTGTTCTTGAGAAATTGGCAGTGAACTGCTTTCGTCTACATGTCAGGCAGAACATTTGCCTTGTGAAAGCTGCAAGCACTGCTGCGATGGTGTCATGCAACATCGGTGTGAGACCACTTCCCTGTGTACCTTTCTTCAGCAAGGCTTCTGTGATCTTGAAGGGTGGTAGAATTTAGCCATCCTACCATGTTCAGTCAGTGTCACACCCAGTAATTTCGAGTGAGTATTGATTAGGTTACTTCCCTCCACACGTACCTCCAGTGGCTGAGATTCTGTATGGGAGCCCGTCTACTCCATTATGTTTGTATAAGTAACACATTTAGCAATTTTATTTCACTTTACAGTAATGGTCTAATGGGAACCTATTCAATGTTTGAGAAATAAAGTCCCAGAATTACTGTCTCACCAGCTGGATCTAAACTTGAATTAAAAAAAGTGAGAGCTGATTGCATTTCTACCATTGCATTATTAAGCTAGCCCAGAGCTCACTTTGGCCTGAGGTCTCTGCTGTTTTCAAACCTTTGTGATGAGAGTAAACTCCTTTTTAAAGACAAATTTTTGGATAATGGAGTCCTTAATTATTGGGGCTTTTTCTTCTACTTTGTGTATTGATCAAATAATTGAAATTTGAATAAAGTAGTTGTGATTTACACTTATTGTGCGCGCAGCATTATTCAGTTTTTTTTTGAAACTGGTTGTTCTAGACATGGCTTCTGTTTCTAATCTTAGGTCTGGTGCTTGGTCAGGTCAGCACTCCATCAGTTGTCCCTGTGGCTGCACTTGCTTCTACACTGGTAACTAACTCACTTAATGTGACTGGCTTCAACACCACCACCAGCTCAATACCTGGAATTGACATCCTATCAACTCGCATACCAGGGACTGTCACATCGGGAATTTCAAATTGCACAGCTTTGAACACCTCTAATTGTGCTGTGTGTTCTGCAGGGCATTTCTCCAATAATGGCAAGTACCTTTATTTGCATAGTTACAAGCTGTTTTTTTTTCCAAGTTTTAAACAACTGTACTTAAAACCTTGTGTTTTTTTTTAAATCACTCCCATGAATGAATGTTGTTGTTATTATGGAGTCATAGTCATACAGTACAGAAACAGGCTCTTTGGCCCAACTCATCTATGCTGATCAGGTTTCCTAAACTGAATTAGTCCCGTTTGCCTGTGCTTGACCCATATCCCTCTAAACCTTTCCTATTCCTGTACCTGTCCAAATGCCTTTTTAAATGTTGTAATTGTACCCGCCTCTACCACTTCCTCTGGCAGCTTGTTCCATACATCCACCATCTTCTGTGTGTGGAAGTTGCCCCTCAGGTCTCTAAATCTTTCCCCTCTCAACATTTAAATGTATACCCTTTAATTTTGTACCCCCTCTGACCCTGGGGAAAAGACCTTGGCTATTCACCCTATCCATGTCCCCCATGACCTTAATGTCACCCTTCAGCCTCCTACACTCCAGGGGGTTTAAAAAGTCCCAGCATCTACTTATAACTCAAACCTTCCAGCCTCGGTAAATCTCTTGTTGTTAATAACATGTTTCATTCCAGCCTGTTCCATTTCATTCTTTCAACATATGTGCATTGCTGTGACTGTTGATGTACTTCAGGTCTCCCTGAAAGCACAACTATAATTTGTTTAGGACCATCCTAATGCCACATTAGTGAACTATGGAAACCCAATCCTGTGAAATCTCTTCTGAAGAAGAGTCCTATCAGACTTGATGTTAACTCTTTCTTTCTCCACAGATGCTGCCAGACCAGCTGGGTTTCTGAGGTTTTTTTTTGGGTCTTTTGCCTCTGAAATCCTTACCTGAGCATCTGATCTAGGAACGCAAGATCAGGAGTATCATAGAATCCCTACAATGTGGAAATAGGCTGTTAGGCCCATCCAGTCCACACTGACCCTCTGAAGACTGCCCAATCCAGACCAACCAAATGTTCCCCCAAAATCCCTGTAACCCTGCATTTCCCATGGCTGATCCACCTCGCCTACCATAGAGATATACAGCATGGAAACAGACGGTTCACTCCATCTCATCCATGCCGAACAGATATCATACACAAAATCTAGTCCCATTTGCCAGCATCCCTCAACTCTTCCTGTTCATGTACCCATCCAAATGCCTTTTTAAATGTTGCAATTGTACCAGCCTTCCCCACTTCCTTTGGCAGCTCATTCTATACATGTACCACCCTCTGCATGGAAAAAGTCGCCCCTTGGGTCCCTTTCAAATCTTTCCCCTCTCACTCTCACCTTAAACCTATGCCCTCTAGTTTTGGACTCTCTAACTCTGGGGAAAAGACCTTGTCTATTCCCTCTATCCATGCCCCTTTATAACTCTATAAACCTCCACAAAGTCACTCCTCAGCCTCTGACATCCAGGGAAAATAGCCCCAGACTATTTAGCCTCTCCCCAGCTCAGACCCTCCAACCCTGGCAGCGTCCTCGTAAATCTTTTCTGAACCCTCTCAAGTTTCACAACATCCTTCCGAGACCAGAATTGCACGCAGTACTCCAAGAGTGGCCGAACCAATGTTGTGTACAGCCACAACGTGACGCCGCAGCTTGACCTCCCAACTCATACTCCATGCACTGAGCAATAAAGACAAGTATACCAAACACTGCCTTCACTATTCTACCTACCTGTGACTCCATTTTCAAGGAATCTTTGGCTGGTGGGAGGAAACCCTCGCGAATGTAGGGCGAACATGCAAATTTCAGACAGGCAGTCACCCGAGGCTAGAATCGAACTTGGGTCCCTGGCACTGTGAAGCAGCAGTGCGAACTGCTGAGCCAGCATGTTGCTCCAAGGAGGAGTAGGTGATTCAATGCCTCAGACCTGTTCTGTCAGCCCATTAGATCATGTTTCAGCAGGAATTTGAGAAAATTTATGGGAGCAGTAACTTGCCAAACTCTTTTGAATTTGAACTTCCACTGTTGACGAAGATTTACTAACGTGTTAGCTATATTGATGATAAGTAGTCTTTATATTTCAAACAAAATGTGATGGATATTGATCTGACTAACTATACTTCTGTTTCACTTTCAAGGGTCCCTGAACTGTTCCTGCTGTTCTGACGGGTTCTGCCTTGCTCTCGAAGACTGCCTCAGCTGTCCACAGGGTTACTACCAATCTCGGGCTGGACAGATGACATGTTTGCCTTGTTCAAAAGGTGCTTATACAAAGTAAGTACATGGACAAGAACCAATAACCATGCATTGAGCTTCCTTTGACCCCTTGGCAGTGACCTCCCACCCCTTCATGTGAGGCCATATAGTGTGTTGGGCTCATTGTCCCTCTGGTCAATGTAGCTGAGCTCCATTCCTTCATTTCCCCCCTCACCACCCATGTTTAATTGTCCTTCCCAGTGCTACTGAGGCTCTGCTAACTCAGTCAATGAATTGTGATGGGTTAAAGGAGTATGGTGCAGTCATTTGTTTGTGTTGATCATAAATTATGGGAACAGCTGATAATTTTCCAGTCAGTGAAAGCCTCAATTGTTTCAGTAACAGATGAACAGCCAGCTATCACATTGGTCTTTGACTGAGAGGGTTTGGGGGGAGTGGGAAAAAGGAGAAATGATTGAACAGCTTTATTTGTCTATAAATTGGTATCAGGAAAAATGTTTGCTGAACCTTGGAATAAATCAACTAAGCTAATGACTAGAATTTGAGACAGATTGCTGAAGAGTACAGGGGATGGTCAACTAGGGTCAGCAAAATGATGAAAATGTCATAGAAACGTATCTGGACTACAACCCATGCCATCACCTCACTGAGATCAATCAACTCTTGCACAGACCAGGAACTGAAGCAGATTCTACTGAACTCCCTTGCAAGTGAGTCTGTTACAAGTTGAACTGTTGAATAAGCTATATTAAACTTTTTTGGTGGGAAGCCTTTGGTTTACTGAAGGTGTGCCTTTAGTTTGAAGTTATGAATAGTGTTCTTGTGTTTTTCCATCTGATATATCTCTACAATGACTTTGGGACATCTGCCTTGGGTCAAGTGTTTAGTAGGCATTTGCAAGACTGGAAATGAATGGCTATGATCCACATTATTGAATTAACATACACATTTGATGTTGGAATGTGAATTCATCTGAAATCAAATTGGAGTCATGACTGTTTTAGGAATTTGAATGTTATTCAAAAAGTAGTGTTCACCACCTCCCCAATCTTGTATTGAAATACCATTTTCACAAATGCCTTGCACCCATGTGTTGTGCTGAGGGAGTCAGTAGTTTGTAATACAACATTTATGTCATCTTAGATATTGTTAGGTCCCATCATGAGTTGATCAAAGAAGAGGACTTGAACCCAGTACATGAATGCTATAGTCTCAGATTTTTGCTGTAATCTGATGAGGAAATCTTGTCTGTACCTTGCTGCCTCCAGAGTCAACTATTTTAAACTCCTCCTAGCTGACCTTCCATTTTCAGTGCGCCATAAACTTGAGCTCATTATTCTAGTCTGAACTCGGCCAAATCCTATTCACTCATCATTGCAATGCTTGATGGCCTTTAATTGGATCTTGATCTGGCAGCAGCCTGAGCTTCAAGTTCCCCGTTGCCTGTCCTTCATTACAACTCTAAGAATGCTGTGGTCATTATTCCACCATTTGATATCCATACCATCAGCTGACTGGGTTCTAAACCCTTCTCCATATAAAAGTGGAATTAATCAATAGAAGGGAAAAGTGCTGCCTTCCGCTAAAGTTTAGTACTTGGCATGTCTGCAAACATATTCTGAAGTGGTTTCTGCCATGTCTAACGTGTTCATCTGAGTCTTTGTCAGATGGTATAAATATTAAATGCATGCATGCCTGAAACAAGCAAAATAAAACCTTTCAGGCTGTTCATTCATAGATGGCAGTGTTATGAGTGTTATTAAAAGGTAATTAGCTGTAAGTCAAGTTTTTTTTTTTTTTTTTTTTTTTTTTTTTTTTTTTGTGTTGTGGGGTAAATTTCTTAGCAGTTCACAACTCAGCCAGCCAGCACCAGGTTTTAATTGTGATTTCAGATAAACCTGTTGGACTATAACCTGATGTCGTGTGACTTCTGACTTTGTCCACCCCAGTCCAACACCAGCACCTCCACATCATTTGCCAGCCTTCATTAATGATACATTGTAGATGGCTGAATTTTTAAAAAAAAAAAAAAAAAAAATTGGTTTGTTGCCACTTATTTCTTGAGTTAAAGTTCAGATCTGCCTGATTTAATTTGATTTATTGATGTGTTACGTTACAAAATACAGTGAGACATACTGTGTGGTGTCGCCATTCTCTGGTGCCATCTTTAAAACAGAGAAATAAACCAAAACATAGAACATAAAGTCAAAAGAATAAAGGAAGTGTTCAAATTTACAGTTTTTGTTTAATACCATAAATAATAACTGGTCATTTGGCCTCTTTAACTTGCTCTGTCATTCAATAGGGTCATGGCTGATCCAACATTGCTCATGACCACTGTCCTACTCTTTCCCGGTAACCCATGATTTTCCCAACTGATCTGGAATCTCTCTTGTTGCTTTATCAATTTGCAGACAGACGAGGGAAGGATCCATCATGTGGTAAAGTGGATTCAAAACATGGTTTAGATTGTTGTGTAACAAACTCTTGATCTGAGACAGATCATCACAATTGACTAATCTTTTGTAAGTTTTCTTTCTCTTTTTAATATTTTTAAATTCTAATGTAATAATTTGATATCTATCTTTGCAGTTCCACAGGGAGCACAGAATGCCAATCCTGTGAATCTGGATTTTATGCCAATGAAACTGGTTCAAAATTGTGCAGACCCTGCCTTCCAGGTAGAAGTGCACTATTGCTGCTATGCTCGAGTTGAGTAAGGATTGGAATGCAGATGTTTAGTAATACTGAAATGTTACTGTCTTGTGCTTTTTTTTACTTCTTTACTTCCTCCTTCCACTTACATTTCATGTGAGGTAAACCACAATACTGTAGACTTAACTTCAGCTGATGTGTGCAGCAAAAGTCAATATTGAAATAGATATTTGCATTTTAATCGCTTTCAAAGCAAATGCTTTGCATTATCAAGCTGAAATAAAGGAGTAGAGTTTGCAATAGAACTTTCTGTTGCATTGTGCTTCTTAATTCCTGATTGAAATATCTCAAAGTATAGACTAGATCCTCTGGCCAAAATACTTAGATTTTCCCCAAATGGAGAAGTCATTTCTTAGGAATCTGCCTTTTGGGGAATTTTAGCATCCCTTTTTTAGATCTACCTCCACTGAGATTTATTTACTTTTTTTTTTGAGTCACTGTTGCATGGTTGTTGGTTGTGGCTGCTACACAGATGGACATCTGCATCAAAACCATCTATTTGTTCTCGATCAATAGTGTGGAGCTGGAGGAACACAGTAGGTCTCTATCTATTCACAGCTATCTCTGCACGTTTAAACCAAACAGACTGAACAGATTTTTATTTTGTTAGTTCATAGAATCTTAGAAATCAAAAATCATTTGGTCCTTCATACCAGTGCTTGTGAAAGAGTTCTATAGCTCCACTCTCCTGCTTTTTTTAACCAATTTGTCTTCAATATGAATATCTACTTCCCTTAGGAAAGTTATATTGAATTTGCTCCTGCAATCCTTTTTGGGCAGTATATGCCAGATTAAAGTTTGTTTGTTTTTTGTTTTTTTTTTTTAAAATTCTCCTGATTTTTCACTTATTTTAATCCGAGATTACTGATCTTCCTGCCAGTGCAGCCAATTTCTCTTGACCATGTCTATTAAAACTCTTCATCGTTCTTTTTGTAACAACAGTGAATAACCCCTGAATCTTTTCTGTTTTAAGAACCATTCTTTTGTCGCTGCTGCCAATCAAGCCTGCTCTGCTACTTTGATTTATATCATGGCTGACCTTCCAACTGTCCTTTTCTGCTTTATCCATGTAGCCCTTGATTTCCCCCACTCCCCAAAATACTCTGATCAGTCGTATTCCAGAATATGATCCGAATGCATCTCGGTTGAAAATTCCAAGGTTCACAATCCCTCTGAAAGAATATCTTCTTTTCGTTCTAAATGTCTGATCCCTTTATCTGATATAATACTTCAAATTCCCTGGGGATTAGTGTGACATTTAGCATGCATGATATCCACTACGTGCCTCTGTTTAGCAGCACAGTGTCCCATTTGTTTGTTTAAAAAATGGCCTTAGTGTCTCCTGCAACTCTTTGGGTTTATTTATCTTCCCTGTACCTGTCTTTTTTAAAATGACATTGCTTATTTGTATTGAGTCTTTTTTTTTTTTTTGCCCTCCCACTTCCCCCATTCTGAAGGAAAGTGCGTTACTTGATACCCCCTGCATTAATGAGTGACCAATGATTTAACAGACACAGTGGTCCTCATGCAGTCTGGATGATTCCATTGAAATGATGAACTGGATGAGAACTTATTATGTTCGCCTACCACCAGTGGGTTTGAAGGTGCTCGGATAAAATCTAGTGGCTGACCATTTCACTGACCAGTCTGAGCTTCTACAGGGCAGGTGGAGATATCTGGTGGCCTGCCTGTCCATTGACCAGTTAGTCCTTGAGTGGACAATTAATGGTTACTTAAGAGTCTCTTGCTACTGTCACTAGCAATTTACCCACTTGGGAGAGTGGTGGGGGACGGTGTGTGTGCAGACCTGGCCATACAAGAACTGACTTCAAAGCATATGGGTGGGTGGGGAAAGGAGGCTGCTTTTGAGGCTCCCTGGGTCCTTTAGAGGCACGCCTCTCTCCTGAAAGTGAGCCCACTTCCCTTGACCCCTGGGTTGCTTGTGCTGTTCCTCACTGGGGGCTGCTTGTAAATCCTAGCCGTCATTGTCAGAGGTACTACTGGCTCCATGTACCAACAGCTCTTTTAAGGTGTGATTCCTTCCTGACAAAGCATCATGTCAAATGGAATTAGTGCTGCCAGCCTATCCTGCCATGTAAAGTTGCCCAGGGTGATCATGTGCACACTGTTTAACTGGGCATTGCACTATGGTACCCGATCTCTCACTGGACTTGTCGATTTTTATGTGATGTCATTTCTAATTGGAATATATTTCCGTGAACATGAGCCAATTGCATCCAACTGGACATATTCAGAAAATGCACTAAAAATCTACTTCATTTCACAGGTTACTTTTCGGAGATGAATGCTACTGGGTGTGAGCCCTGTTCTCAAGGATTATTTTGCAAGTAGGTAATATCCATGTGCATATCTGTAGAATCATTTCAGTAGAGTTGTTAATTTGTGAATTCCTGGTGTGTGCTAAATCAGCTAACTTCTGCTCACTTGGCAGTTGAGCTGTGCAAAATTAAATCTCTTTTCACATGATGTATTTTAAAGTATTAATGCAGCATCATTTTAAGCCCAAAAATCATCTAGAACTGATGGCTTAGTGAAGTATTGAAAGCTCCCGTGCTGCTCCCTGGAAATCTCGGATGACCCATTTAAGTCCTGGTGGAAATTCCTGTGTTTTAGGCCATAAGATTATAGGAGCAGAATTAGGCTGTTCAGCCCATCTAGTCTCCATCATTTGATCATGGCTGATATATTTCTCAAACTCGGTCTCCTACCTTCTCCTTGTAACCTTTGATCCCCTTGCTAATCAAGAACTTTGTCCATCTCAGTCTTGAACACAATCACTGACTTGGCCTCCACAGCCTTCTGTGTTAATCACTTCCACAAAGTCACCATCCTGTGGCTGAAGAAGTTCACTGCATCTTGACTCTAAAGAGATGCCCCTTCATTCTGAGGCTGTGCCCTCTGGTCCTAGTCTCTCTTACAAGAGAAAACATCATCTTCGCGTCCACCCCATCCAGGCTATCAATATCCTGTAAGTTTCAGAGATTTCCGCCCACCTCCTACCCCAAACTCCATCAAGGACAGTCTTAAAGTCCTCACGCTCCTCGTGACTAGCTCTTCATCCCCCGGATCATTCTTGTACTACTGCTCTTGACCCTCTCCAACGCCAGCACTTAGATACGAGGCCCAAAACTGCTCCCAATATTCCAAATGAGGTCTGATCAGAACCTTTATACAGCCTCATCCGTACATCCCAGCACAAGCTTTCCCACATTGTATTCCATCTACCACATCTTTGCCCACTCTCCTAGCCTGTCCAAGTCCTTCCGCAGCCTCCTGCTTCCTCAACACTACCTGTCTATCCGCCTATCTTTTTGTGATCTGCAAAGTTAGCAATAATGCTGTCAGTTCCATTGTCCAGATCGTTAATGTATAACGTGAAAAGTTGTGGACCCAGCACTGGCCTCTGCGGACTTCCACTAGTCACCAGCTGCCTTCCTGAAAAGTATCCTTTATCTCCAGTCAGCCAATCTTCTATCAATGTCAGTATCATGCCCCTAACAACATGAGCTCCTATCTTATTTCGCAGCCTCTTACGTGGCACCTTGTTAAAGGCTGTCTGGAAGTCCAAAAGATCATGACAACTGGCTCTCCTTTGTCTAATTAGCATGTTACCACCTCAAAGAATTCTAGCAGCTTTGTCAGGCATGACCTCCTTTGAAACAGTGCTGACTCAGCCCTATTTTACATGCACTTGCAAGTATTTTGCAATTTCATTAATAATGAACTCTAAAATCTTACTCATGACTGAAGTCAGCCTAACTGGCCTAAAATTTCTGGTCTTTTGCCTCCCTTTCTTCAACAGGAGTGTTTAGATAGCCTTGGTGAATAAATAGGCAAGAACATGGTGGAGAGGACATAATGGGGAAAAATGTGAAATTATCCACTTTGATAGGAATAATAAATGTGCAGGTTCTTCCTTAGATGGCCAAATGTTAGAAAGGTGGGGGGGGGAATGTACAAAAGGATCTGTGTCCTTGTTGATAAGTCACTTGGTTAGATAGTACCTGGACAGTACTGTATGCAGTTTTGGTCTCATTATCTCAAGAAAGATGATGTTGCTATAGAGGAAATGCAATAAAGGTTCATCAGACTTATTCCCAGGCTGGTGGGACTGTCCTATGAAGAGAGATTGGGCAAACTGAGCCTGTGTTCTTTAGAGCTCAGAAGAATGACGGGTGATTGTGTTAAATCATGCAAAATACATAAAGGAATAGACAGAGTGGAGACAAGAAAGGTGTCTGCCCTGGTTGGAGAGTCTAGAACCAGGGGGCACAATTTCTAAATCTGGGGATGCCAATTGTGTCCAGGATTAGACCTTTCTTTTTGTTACCTCATTGTATTGTGAATGTTTGGAATTCTCCATCATGGAGGGCTGTGGAAGTTCAGCCTTTGAGTATATTTAAGGGAGAGATTGGATTTCTGATTACCAGTGGCATGCAGGGCTATGGGGGTGGGATGCGTAAAAGACATTTGTGTTTAATCAGCCATAATGAAGTGTTCAATCATGATTTGAGCCTGCCCTGCTACTCAGTATGATGAGCCGAACTGGACCATGTTCGGAGGAAGGGTCACCGGACCTGAAACGTTAACTGTTTTTTTCCTTCACAGGTGCTGCTGGACCTGCTGAGCTTTTCCAGCAACTTTGTTTTTGTTCCTGATTTACAGCATCCGCAGTTCTTTCGGTTTTGATTTATTTTGTCTCCTGAAACCCTCCTGTTTTGATCCTGCTGTAACCTCCCTTCCTTCCTACCCCACCTTTGCTTTGCTCCCTCTGCTATGTAAAGCTAGTTGAGGCACGATCCACATGAGAGAAATACTAAAAATGTAAATAGTACTCTAGGCTTGAGATGCCACTATTTTTAAAACCATCGAGTCCAGTGTGCCTGCCATCATTTAAAGGTTTAGGTTCTATCTTTGTGATAGCCTGTTTTCGGGTTAGTGTGTGTAAAATGTTCTCTCTTTTTTTATTTTCTTTTCAGCACAACACAGTGTGACAAGTGTACAGCATGCCCTGGTGGGGAGGAGGCTCTGACTACAGCAGCAACAGAGTGCGCACCATGTCAACCAGGTATAGGCGGAGTAGGTGGTGGGGTAGAAAGTAGGCCATTCACCTTGCTCCTATCATTCAAAAGGACCATGGTTAATCAGTACCCTGGTTGTGCTTTCTCCCCATATATTGATCCTTTCAGCATTCAAAACTGACTCCTTCTCAAACATTCAATGTTTTGGCCTCAACTGCTTTCTGTGGCACCAGTCTGAAACAACTATTGAACTAAGCTAATCCCATTTTGCACCACTTGGCCCATAGCCTTTTAGACCTTGGCATTGCAAGTGCACATCTAAATACTCAATGGTCAGGAAGGTTTCTGTCTCTATTGCCCTTAGGGGCAGTGAATTCTTGATTTTGCTACCACACTACCACAACATTCCATACAGCAGAGTCCAGGAGCAGTGAAGCCCCACCTGCCCCAGATATGTCGGTACATGTCTGAATGGTTTGTTTTAAAAATATCTCACCTGGGGAGCTCCTTCAATGATACCTTGAGGTTGAGGTGGTTGACTTAAATAGAAACCATTAGATCAATGATTAAGGGCTAACTCAGTTGGCCCAACTAGGGGTAGTGTTTTCTGGAACAGCAATATTGGTGGACATGTAACCAAATTTCACCTGAGCTAAGTCGACACATGCTTTGCAGGGACAGAGTGGGGGCGATTACTGAAGCAGACCATGAACTCCATTTTCTTCTCCTTCCTGTTGCCAGCTTGGAAGTATGAAGTATATTTATGGCACCCTTAACTTCTCCTCTGTCATCTCCTGTATTAATAATCTTGTTGGCATCAGCTATCCCTTCACAAAGCAGGAATCTATCTAGTGATTGTGCTGGTCTGTAAATTTGTGTACTGTACCATGCAACACATTGAACAGTGAAGACATCGAGCTCCTCTATCCATCTTCTATCCGCCTCCCACTCTCTCCCTATTTATTTCAGAACCCCCTTCCCCTCCCCCTTTTCTGATGAAGGGTCTAGGCCCGAAACGTCAGCCTCTCTGCTCCTATGATGCTGCTTGGCCTGCTGTGTTCATCCAGCCCTGCACCTTGTTGTCTCGAAGACATCGAGCAGGCAGGTTTATATAGGATTTAGACATCTTAATGTTGCAAGTGTGTAGTAATTGATTGGATTCATTTTGGCTTTTTTTTTTTTAACTTGGAAGGTATGTACAAGCAACCAGAAGATTTACTTTGCAAGATGTGCAAGACTGGGTACTACCAGATAATGGTAGGACAGGAGAGCTGTGACCTGTGTCCTGAGCAGCATTATTGCCCTGTGAGTACTCCTCGTTTGGAATTGTACTATGTCTTAGTTACCACATTGCCTGAAGCAGCCAATCGCACCAGCATTAAGACCAGGATCATCCAAAAGTAACTCTGCTGCACCAGCCACGTGCTTAAGATGCCCGAGTTCCAACTGCCAAAGTGAACCATCTGCACCAGGAACAACAGAGTTGCTGGAAAAGCTCAGCGGGTCTGGCAGTATCTGTGAAGAAAAGATCACAGTTAACGTTTTGGGTCCGGTGACCATTCCTTGGAACATCTTCACCCAGCTCAAGGAAGCCACTCTAAGACCTCCATTTAGCACAAAGCAGCCCACTTGGTTGGCACCACACCCACAAACATTCAATCCGTCTACCACTGACATTTCAGTCTTAGCAGTGTGTACTATCTACAAGATGCACCTTGGAAATTCATCCAAGCTTCTCAGACAGCACTTTCTAAATGGCTGTGGATTTGGAAGGACAAGGACAAGGACAGCAGGTACATTGGAACATCACCACCTTCAGGTTCCCCTCCAGGCCACTCACCATCCTGACTTGGAAGTGTATCGCTGTTACTTCACTGCTGAGTTAAAATCCTGAATTCCCTCTTTTAATGGCATTGTGGGTCTACCTACAGCACATAGACTGCAGTGGTTCAAGAAGGCAGTTCATGACCAGCTTCTCAAGGGCAACTAAAGATGGGCAATAAATGCTGGCCAGCCAATGATGCCCATGTTCCACAAGTGAATTTAAAAGGAGAACAAATGAAGCATTACAGAGAATCCCAAGCAACCCTTGAGAGGCTCTTGTTTAGAAGAAACTTCCTTGGAGGAAGTTCCTGTATGAGGACGCACAATTCTTGAAGAACACCTGCTGGCAAGGGTATGTATGGGAAAGGAATGCCAATGTTCTTGAAGCCAAGGACCACTTCCGCCTCCTGGAAACACTTGCCAAATGTGTGATCAGAGATATGGCTCTGGGTTTGGGATTGTCAGCAACACAAGGACCCCCACAGACCCCGTGACCAGTGACATGGAGTTTCCTGGGTGGACAATCACACTCTGAATACAGATGATGACAGCACCATTGGCTCTCATGAGGAGGGAAATAATTCCACAACCCACGCCTTTTTTAAAAAAAAAATAAACCTTCCAAAATTTACAATTGATTGTTTTCAACACTGAGTCAGCTGTGAGTGAGTGAGTCGGACAACGCAAACAGACCCATTGGCCCCATTCGTCCATTCTGACCAAGTTTCCTAAACTGACTAGTCCCATGTGCCTACATTTTGGCCCATATTCTTCTTAGCCTTTCCTGTTCATGTACTTGTCCGAATGTCTTTTAAATGTTGTAATTGTATCTGCCTTTACCACTTCCTCTGCCAGCTCATTCCATACACTCACCTGACCTCTATGACAGACTTGTGTTGGTTCAGGTGGGGAAAATGCTGTCTTTCAGAAATCTCAATCTCATGGTCCATGGTAAGTGATACCTGGCACTTTGACTAACCAAGGCTGGGGTGCCCTCTCCTGGGTTTTAACCACGTTGTTTAGTTGTATGTTGCTTCGGGTTTGCTTTTCAAGTGTCATTCTTAGCAATCTGTTAAACCATGTGGTTTCTGCATGATTTACTGGAGTTCCACTTGGTGTCAATGACAGGAACAGTGATTGCTTTATAGTTTGTTACATAAACTGGATGTGAAGAACCAAAACACAGTTAGTATTGGACAGTTTATGAAAATACCTAAGAGTGAAATCTTCATCGTGTGATGAATGCAAACACAACAATTTAATTAATATTTCTGAAATGTGGTGAGATACATTTCAGGTGAAGAACTGCCAAGATTTGCAGTGTTTTGTCTTTTGTTTTTAGTATCGGTTGTTTCATGGTTTCAGTGACTTGCGTTTCGGGTGTTTGAGTGTTGACATTAATTCTGACCCAAAATGTGGCCTTTATGATGTACAAATTGTGACTTCTGTTTTCCCAGAGTCCCGATGTTGCTCCAATCCAGTGTCCAGTTGATGCATTTTGTCCAGCTGGAAGTACCGCGCCTCAGTACTGCATGGAAACGTTCTTCCTGAAGTCGGGAGATCACTGTGTGCTGACACCATTGACCATCTTCCTGCTTGTGGTCCTTTCGCTAAGTGAGTAGACCATAAGAATTACTTCTGTTCCCTCTTTGGAGGTGGTGTAGACACAGCTAATTAACACAAATAAGACTTGGTGTCCAACTCTAACTGCTCAATATCTCCAGAAGTTGTCCGACATCCTGCCTTGAAATAGATGAAGTAAAAATCTCATTTAATGCACATCACTGAGTGTTTTAAATATGGCAGTTTGTATTACTTATGGTGAGTGATGAAAGGAATTCTACCAAGTTGACTTCCAATAAGAGTCTTAAATTTTTAAACAGGTAGAATCTGATAATTGGAGACCTGGATAGTGTTTGATACAACACTGTTTTTGGATTAATGTTATGTAATCTGGCAGAGCAGGGCGCTTATACAGCTTTCTCCCAAATGTAACTTGTCTCAGGATGACCCCTGTAACTAGATCCAAAACGTTGACTCTGATTTCTCTTCACAGATGCTGCCAGACCAACTGAGATTTTGCAGCAATTTCTGTTTTTGACCCCTCTAACCTGGCTTGTTTTGCACTCTACTGAATAATAGTTGGATCAAAATGTCCCGAGAAGGGCATTTGGTGCCTTGATTGGGTGAAGAAGTAGCAAATTTATGGCCTGGACTTGTCAGTTATTGGTGAATTGACAGTGCTCATTGCTGATCTTGGAGAAAGCTACTGAATAATCCAGATATCTCTGGTGTAGAATTTCTATGGATAGAATTGAGGAACCACAAAGAAAAAGAGAACTTGATTGGGAGTCACGTACAGGTCCCTTAACAGTAGTCAAGATGTGGGGCTGAAAATAAATCGAGATAAGAAAGGCACTATTAGAACAATTTAGGGGGGACTTCAATATATGGGTGGACTGGGAAAATCCAGTTGCTAGCAGAGCTCAAAAAGAATTATTGGAATCTCTAAGAGATGGTGGCTTTTTTTTTTCAGCAGCTTGAGGTACAGCCTACCAAGGAACAGGCAGTTCTGGATTTGGTGTATGATGAGGCGGACGGGATTAGGGAGCTTTAGGTGAGGGAACCATGATAGGATTTACCCTGCAATTTGAGCTTGAATCATCGGATGAGACAGCTTAGGGCAGCACAGCAGCATAGTGGTTAACACTGCATCCTCTCAGAAACAGGGACCTGGGTTCGATTCCACCCTTGGGCAACTGTCTGTGTGGAGTTTACACATTCTCCCTGTGTCTGTGTGGGTTTCCTCCAGGTGCTCTGGTTTCCTCCCACAGTCCAAAGATGTGCAGGCTAGGTGGTGTGACCATGCTAAAGTACCTCATAGTATCCAGGAACTTGCAGGCTAGTTGGATTAGCCATGGTAAATGCAGGGATACGGGGATGGATTTGGGACAGGGGGCGGGTGATGGTTGGCGGTAGTGTGTGGTAGTCAGGGTGGGATGCTCTTTGAAGGATCAGTTAGACGTGGTGGCTCTTTCACTATAGGGATTCTATTTTGAGATTGTAGAGGTACTGGTGGTAATCTTTCAGGAATCGCGAGTCCGGGAGGGACCCAAAGGACTGGATGATGAACATTTTCTCTTTAAGAAGGGAGAAAGGCAGAAGACTGGAAAACATGGGTGGTTATTCTGACATTGGTTGCTGGTAAGACTTTAGAGACCATTAGTAAGATGAGATTGCAGAGTACTTGGAAGTGCATGGTAAAATAGGGCAGAGTCTACATAGCTTCATCAAGGGAGGGTCATGCCTGACAAATCTGTTAGAATTCTTTGAGGAGATGATGAGTAAGTTAGATGAAGGAGAGCCAGTGGATGTGATCCATTTTGATTTCCAGAAGGTCTTTGACAAGGTGCTGCACAGGAGGCTACTAAATAAGAGAAGAACACATGATGTTGGGGGCAAGGTGCTGTCACGGATAGCACATTGGCTGACAGACAGAAGACAGTAGAGATAAATGCATCTTTTCCAGGAATACAGCTGGTAACTAGTGGAGTTATAAGTGGTGGGACTACAACTATTCACATTATACACTTTAATGATCTGGATGAAGGGACTGAGGGCATTGTTGCTACGTTTGCAGATGAAAAGATAGGTGGAGGGACAGGAAGTGGAAGGCTGCAGAAAGACTTGGACAGGCTAGGAGAGTGGACAAAGAAGTAGCAGATAGAATACAGCGTGGGAAGGCTCCAGGTTTTGCACTTTGGTAGGAGAGTAGAAGCAGAGACTATTTACTAAATGGGGAAAAGCTTCAGAAATCTAAAGATAATTTAGCATAGCCAACCTAACTAGTCTGCCCACCTTTGGACTGTGGGAGGAAACTGGAGCTCCCGGAGGAAACCCGTGCAGACTCCACGTGGACAGTCACCCCAGGCTGGAATTAAACTTGGGTCCCTGGCACTGAGGGAGCAGTGCTAACCAGTGTTACTATGCTGCCCCTCTGTACTGAGTATAGACACCATATACTCAGTTTGTGGCTGAGTAAATGCAGCAGAGATTTGGAATTATCCAGTTAAACAGACTAGAAAATTGAGTTCATCCAGTGCTGGCCTATGCTATAAAAGTAATGAATGGAAGTAATGAATTTACGGTTGGATTTTGGGCCCTTTTGTTTAAGTGTTGAATTTAAGAATTGTGTTGTATGGTCTTATGGTGTGAAATTCAACTTTTCTGATAATTTTGTTCATCCGCTACTGGGTTCTCTGGCATTCAGTTAAATAGGCTAAATAGCCAATTACACTTAGGAATTTTTAGACAGTAAATTGAGGAGCGGTAAACAGAATATCCTTCTCCTTACTAATCATCTCTTTGTAGAGATTGAATAAAAACTGTAACTTTTGCATGTGATTTAAACTCAAAGATTGCTATATAGTATGGCATTCAACTCCCAAGTACACATTATTCAACAAGGTATAACTGTTTTTTTCAAGAATTTCCAAATATCCTTAATCCACCTGTTCAGGGTTATGATAAACTCAAGATAGTTGGGACTGGAACCTGGGACCTCCTAGCCCAGAGGTAGGGACACTCTCTAGTCCTGTGAGATGAATGGAAATTCACTTCAAAAGAAGTGACTTCTAAGATTTCTATCTACAAGAACTTCAACAGCACTGTGGAAGAACAGGGAATCATTAAGTGCATTGCAGAAGTGCATTGGCCTTCACTGCGAGTACAAGAGCAAGGATATCTAATTGCATTTGTACACCATTTATGAGATCAGACTTGGAGTATTGCAGGTAGGTTTGGCCTCATTTGAAGGAGGATGATCTGGGTATGGAAGGAGTGCAACAAAGGTTTCCAAGTCTGATTCCTGGGATGGCAGGACTGATGTATGAAGGGTCTAGGCCCGAAACGTCAGCCTCTCTGCTCCTATGATGCTGCTTGGCCTGCTGTGTTCATCCAGCCCTGCACCTTGTTGTCTCGGATTCTCCAGCATCTGCAGTTCCTACTATCTCTGTATGAAGAGCGACTGGATTAGTTAGGACTATATGCACTGGACTTTAGAAGAATGAAGGGGAGTTTATATAAACTGATTTAAAATTTTGACAGGACTGGACAGGATTAACACAAAGATGTTCCTGATGACTAGGGAAGCCAGAACTGTGTGAGGTTTTTGCAATTTTTTTAAACATCTGAACTACCAAATCTCTTTGCTATTCCACAATTCATATTCTCTCCCCATTAAGCAGAATTAAAATTTAGATAACCTGTCACACTTTCCCATATTGAATTCCAAACATCACCATTTTGCCCACTCACTAAATTTATGTAGAGACAACAAGGTGCAGGGCTGGATGAACACAGCAGGCCAAGCAGCATCATAGGAGCAGAGAGGCTGACGTTTCGGGCCTAGACCCTTCATCAGAAAGGGTCTAGGCC